ATTTCTTTAGCACGGAGATATTCACAAATTTTTAAAAATGGAGGGTATAGCCACAAGTATTCCCTTAATACCCCCCCCCCTGCCCTAAAGATTGAGTTTATTACCCCAGGTCGAGTTTTAGAAAATATAGACGCTTTGAAATTCACGGATATAAAATAATTTGAAGTAGACGTTGCATCGACACATAGCAGCTCGAACGGCTGAGTTACAGCGTACACCACCAATTTTACAGCGTCCATATTTTCGAAAGATCGACCGTAAAAGGGACGCTTGGGGCTATGCCTTTCATTTTTTCAAATTCTGAAATATTTCCGTGCTATGAAAAGGTCGCATTTATTCAAGGTGATTACAAAATGAATAGTGAAAAATCAATTTTTTTGAACTAAAATTATTTATTTTTAGGCACTCTTTGTCTCTACTGTAACCCATCTAAAAGCATATTTTCATTGGTTTGGTAGTTCAATAGTTATGATTTAATGAAAAAAGATTGACACTTTTTAGGGGGGGGGCTGTAAAATTAATAATGTTTACAATTTTGAAAAATCCTTCGACACGTGTTTATATATCGTTAAAAAGTACGACACAGTCAAATTTGACCAAAATCTAAAACAGTCTTCCAAAAATTTTCCAATTTCGTGTGAAATAACCCAATTATTCGTTGATTCGCATATACAGAGTATGCTGATCCTCCCCCCTCCAGGAAATGGGGGGTTCCTTTTTATTATACAGGGTGTCCCAAGATTATTGTACGAGCGAGAAGTGAGGGGTTTCTGAGGTCATTCGAAGTAACTTTTTCCTTAGCGAAAATACAATCCGTGGTTTCGTTTACTAGTTATTAACGAAAAACGTTGGCCAAGGAGAGACGAGCTCTGCTATCTCGAGCAGTCTCGAGCAGTCTCGAGTCATTTCGAGTAGTCTCGAACTGCCTTGCGCCAGCCGAACTCACCTCTCATTGGTCACCGTTTTTCGTTAATAACTCGTAAACAAAGCTGCAGATTGCATTTTCGCAAAGGAAAAAGTTACTTAGAATGATCTCAACTACCCTACATCTCCGTAATGCGAGACATTTTTGGGACACCCTGTATATATAATACTAATCTATATGGATATTATATATAATATATAATAATAGTCAGTTTCATAAAAAATACATAAAATTCGCAGTCTACTTATTACGCGGCAACAATGCATAAAATCCGCAGCCGAACGTTTCAATTTATCGAACAGTGCAGAAAGTTGCGAATATTTCCCGCGAACGAAGATCGAAGTACCATAAATCCACGTACCTAGTGCGACGATCACGTAAATTATGGAAGCAGCGAAGCACAGAACGAACATTGTAAGCAAAGTTTCGCTCAAGAATACCAATTTGCGAGATTTGAAAAGTGTCCCACGAGCACGATCGCTGGCAGCTCTACAGCACTTCGGATACGTCATTGAAGTCGTCGGTGCTGAACATTAATAATCATCGGAACATTTTATAATTAAAGTATAATTAATTATAATAGATATGTACAGAGTGGCCCATGAAAGTTTTCGTACACCTTTTAAAACGTAATAACTTTTTTAAAACTGAACTACATGACTTGAATTTTTTTTTAATGATAGAGGTTATGTCAAGGTGGCTATTAGGCGGTGGCTAAAAAGCTTTTCTCTAATTTTGCCAATACTTGGAGCGAAAAGAAAAAATTAAAAACCCTCGTCTTTTAACTTTTTTAACCGAGCCTGTAACAAAAATTGTAAAAAATGCCTTTTGCAGATCTCGGTGACTGATATGCGTGCTGAAAATTTAATCGAAATCGGTTAACCTAGAGTCGAGCTACAGACTTTGAAGGATATTAAAAAATTTCTTACAGTTTTTGGTAAAAATCGTGATACAACTGCAATTTTTGCCATCTTTAATTTATTCTTTAACTTATAACAACGTTAATCGTTGAAAAAATAAATATATAATAAAATTTTCAGCGTGCATATAAATTACCGAGATCTACGAAAGACATTTTTTAAATTTTCGTTATAGGTTCAGATGAAAAAGTTAAAAAACGAGAGATTTTTATCTTTTTACCATTCCAAGTAATAGCAAAATTAAAAAAGAAAGCATTTCAGGCATCGTCTAGTAAACTAGTCCCTCTATCATAAAAAAATTCAAATTATCATCTTAATAAAGTTCAAATTTTTTAAATCACGTGTCTACGAGATGTTTTACAATCTCAACTTAAATGAGACACCCTATACAGGGTTCCTAATGACGGGTTCCTCAGGTCAATTGAAGCAACTTTTTCCTTTTCAAAAATTTTCTCCGAGGCACCGTTAACGAGTTATTAATGAAAAACAGTGACCAATGAGAGGCGAGCTCGGCTGGCGCGAGGCGACCGAGCCAATGAGCGGAACTGGACTTCGTGCGCTGTTTTGGCTGGGCCGCCACGCGTCAGCCGTACTCGATTCTTATTGGTCACTGTTTTTCGTTAATAACTCGTTAACGGTGCCTCGGAGAACATTTTTGTAAAGGAAGAAGTTGCTTCAAATGATCCGAGGAACCCGCTATTTCCGGATTGCGAGACATTTTTGGGACACCCTGTATAATAGGCATCCGGAAAGCTTGGGACTAAACTTATACAATATGTGTTACTGGGGTCAAATAAATGAAAATAGTTCACGCACACTTTAGTTTCAAAATAGTCATAGCGTTTTAAAAGGTGTACGAAACACTTTCGTGGGCCACTGTACAAGGCGAACAAAATTGCGTACCATTCCTCAGCGCTCTCAAATTCACGCAACACTGGCCGTCTATTGTCGGCAAATTTTCCAACTTAGAGGCCGCGATCTTGTATTCGGTGCTCATTGTTCGTGATCTCCTGGTAAATCTGAAACATGTCGGGCAGACGTGACGAGGTGACAAAATACTCTTATAGAACATAATACTCGCGAATATGATAGCGTCGCGCGCGATGAAAGTTTTATGACGATGTGAGTTTTATAGCGCGTCTGGAACGTCTCGAGTCATTCTTGTGATTTTTCAATGGATCGCGATGTATGTATACGCTCTGTCGATAATAGGGAAGTTGTGTTCGGATAATGGAGAGTGTACGATGCTGCGCGGCCATAAACAGAATCACCGGGATAATAAAATCTTTAGCTTCTTTTCGATGATCGTGTCGTTGGACGGTTCTTTTCAATCGAATTCTGCGTTGCAAACGGGGACATACATGCATTGTGCTTCGTCAAAGCGATGATTCAATGGTTCGAATTATTTTTAGTAAATGTGGAAAGAAAGTTGCTGAATTTTGTAGAAGCTGAAATCGGTCGGGAAAGTCTGCGTACTTGCCAGATGTTCAGTGTTTTTGAAATAAAGAATGCATGTCATTCATCAGGATTCAATGTTTTCTAATATACAGTGGTCAGCATATAAATAGGCGTATACAGGGTGTCCGATATAAGTGGAGATTGTGCAAAATCTCGTAGACGGGGGATTTAAAAAAGAAAACAAACTGTGACAGGAGTCCTTTAGTATTTCGAGTGGGGAGTAAAATGGCATTACAAGTTTTTTAACGCTTGGACATTTTCAAGGTTACTTCAATGTCATCTTGCTTTTTTCGTCATAAATCTATATTTTTTACCGCGGAATCGTATGCTACGTAAAAAGATGCACAACTTTTGTTTGAAACATTTTTTTGTAAGTTCAATAATTTCTAAGATATATAGCTGATTTTGCATGTTTATATCAAAGATAATTTTGTTTTTCTATTAAATTTACAGCGTTGCTTTTTCTTCTAGAAGGTATTTTATCTCATTTAAGAACATAAAATTACAAAAAATGTTTTAAAAACATATTGTGCATTTTTTACATAGAATATGATTCCGAGAGAAAAAATATAAGTTTATGATCGAAAAAAAGCAAGATGACCTTTAAATAACTTTGAGAACGCCCGGACATTAAAAAACTAGTAGTGCCATTTGACTCCTCATTCGAAACACTAAAGGGTATGCGTCAGTTTGTTTGCTTTTTTAAATCACGTGTTTACGAAATATTTTAGAATCTGAATTAGAATAAAAGTAGTTTCGGATTCGCGCGCTTTAGCAATCTCTCTCGCAAAGCGAAGAGGATTATTGGAACAGCGGAGAGAAGTCCCCGCAGCAGAACTTTTTTCATAAAGACTCGCAGCCTAGTTGCGAACAGGACGTTTAATAAGGACACCGAGTTCTTCAGAAGTTGTTATGCCAATTTAAAAGTTTTAGCTTACAGTGTGTAGCGACTCGCGGTGCGCGCGTTCTCGGTGATTCTTTTTTTCGGACAAAGTATAGAGGAGCTCTCGCGTCGTTCGCGATTTCTTTTCCGATCCAGTGGCCGCCGTGAAATAACGCGGAAGAAGAGTACTCACGTTTGCAAGTTACTGAAGCACCCTTCTGGATAGAGCCGTTTCCATTCGATGGCCCGTGGATATCCGTCGCTCGGGAAACAAGTTCGCAATATTTCTTCGGAAAAAAACTTGTCCTCGCCAATGAACCGTGCACTCGGCGTCGCCGCCGCGAAATAACCGCCGAGGATCCGATAGACCGAGTCATTACTTTGCATCGAATGTGTCAGCAATATTGTTGAAAATCCGGCTGCCGAAATGTTTCATCATCGCGGGCGTGTGAATGACCGTTTCGATACGTCCACCGTCGATATTTAGGCGGATACGCGTGCGGTCGCACGTGAGCTGCGATCTTTGGAGAGACGCACAGTAGGCCACGGAGAAAAAGTAAATGTTCACGTCTATTTTAGCATTATGTATAAGTCGTTGGTCTCGTCTTGCCGTCGTCTATAACATTATTGAATAATAAATATACAGTGATAAATAAATGATAAATGATAAATGATAAATGATAAATGATAAATGATAAATGATAAATGATAAATGATAAATGATAAATGATAAATGATAAATGATAAATGATAAATATAACCTTGACATAACCAGATAAACGATAAACCACATAAACGATAAACCAGACAAACGATAAGGCAGATAAACGATAAACGATAAATGATAAATCAGGTAAACGATAAATGATAAATCAGATAAACGATAAACGATAAGGCAGATAAACGATAAACGATAAATGATAAATGATCTTCTCGGCTTATAATTATGTTAATACGCTAGTCCTAACTATGTAAATGTTTAACTCATATAACTTGTATATTTAAGGTGGAATATTCAGCAACTAAAATCTTGTTTATAAGAAAATCACTATATTCGTTTAATTGACTGAAACATGCAGTTTCAGATTGTTCGCATAACACAAACGAAGATTATATAAAATTTCCCAAAACATAATTTATATCAATTTTACATACATGGCCTTATACAGTTCAAGTTATTATACTTATGTAAATTGTCATTGTCCAAACACGCGGAACACGTGATTCCTTTTTAGGACCGGATAGAACGGATCTCGAAGGAACTATTCATATTTCAAGATGGGCGTATACAATTTCTGTAAAAGAGTGGCGAGCGTTCACACAGTCCGGGTAACGTAAAAGTGATGAGTTTCGAGTGTACATTACTGAAGTCTTTTAATATTTTTCTCTACTTTATGATCCGTCTACTTATTTTTCTCCAAATATACTCTGATATTCTTTATGAAATTATATATTTTTATAGAAACCTTGTATTTAAGCAAAATACGAAGAAAATCAAACGTATACAGTATAATTACAATACAAATAATTATGCACACTTTCAAAGAGACTGCAACAGCAAACTGTTCAAAAATGTCATTGTATTATTTCCAATTGATTATAATAGCCGAAGAAAACAAATCTACTTATTTCTTGTTTCCATGCAAAACATTTTACGTAAAGCTCCTCGTACGTAAACATTTTGTAACAAGATTGATGAAAAAGACACTTTCGAGTGATCAGATAACAGATTCTAATGCAGATATGTAAATGTATTTGGCAACCTAGAAAAGAATAAAAATGAAGATCGAATGGCAACTTCATTACATCTCCACAAACGGTGCCGACTGGCTTTGCCGATTTCTATTTGTTGTGAAACTTCCCCTTTCACAGAACGCGACATTATGCTTGCACGCAAGTTAAAAGCGCAGCGCATACTTCTCAACAAAAGGGTCCAACACGTGGAACAACGCGCCTGTTATTTCCGCTACATTTCAAGCGTAATAGGATCCCCAGTGTCGCGGGCTTGTTGCTAATTGTTGCGTATACGCAAGGAAAAATGCGCTCGGCCTGCACATATTCAACAACACAAAAAAGTTGCGATGGATCCGATACCAAACTTCTCACCTGTCGGTACACAAAAATATTCTAATATCAGCGCGTCGGAAATCATCGAACAATTGAATTGCTTACTGTGCGGTAAAATTTCAGACGGTGAAAAGAACGACAGCTGCGATCGAGTTTCGTGCGAGAATGAGAAGTCTGAAAAAACGAATATTTTGACGGTTCCTCGTATTGCCTTTTATACAGCGACGGACTAAAGTATCCCTTCAGACGAGCTGTCTACGGCGATTTGCCGTCGCGGCAACTTATTGCGCCGCAAAGACAGTCGACTGCAACTTTCTGTCGCCTCGTTTCAGCAATACGGCGATTTATATGAAGTAATTTGCACGGGGCACGGCATTTTGCCGGGAAATTCGCGTTTAACGAAAGAAGCGCGCGTATGGAAAAACGTAGACGGATGGCCTGCGGCAATTCGCCGAGACGTTTTATCGGAATATGGATTTTTCGACGTACTTCGTACACAACGCAAATTGCAGCGGCATGTTTGCGTGTTTTTCGAACGAAGCAAATCCTGCTTCGTCGCAACGTACCGCCCAAACAGTATACGGCACTATACGCGTACACTCTCACACGAAAGTATTTAAATAATATTAATTATTATTTGAAGGGAAAAAATCCTTCGGGAATTATTAAAGCAGAGTATGTAAGTGTCAAAATACAAAAATCTTTCCATTTGGTATAATTAGTATGTAAGAAAGATATAAAAAGCATCGAATTTTCATATAAATATTCGAACGTCTTATAAAATTAATTTGATAAGTTACAAAAATAAATCTGTTTTAAATTATTATCACTAGTTTTATACCTTTATTATTTAACAATATGTTTCAAGAATGTTGACATTTTACAAATTATTATTTATTTATGATCTCGATGTCGTTTTATATCTCTATTTTACACGATTTTATGATTTCTTTATAGCATGTATTTTTTTTGTTCCTACGCGTGTCGTGCATAGGACACGCGTAAATATAATTTGTTATCTTAATTTGTTAATGCATCTGAAGGAATTTGTAAAATTGGAATGCAGTTTTGACCCATTTACCAACTATCGTTGATGTAACATGGGAAAAAACAACCAGAAATGCATTCCAATTCCAGATTATTTCACGCACATTGGATCGTTGTAAAAATTATGTTCCTCAGCTAGTTAACTGTTTTTGACGTGTATACTTGTCGTGATACAAAATACTGTCATTCCTGCTTCGATATTCTTTACTAAACGATATATTTTCTAAGAGTATTGTATTTAGAAATCAAATATGAAGAAAATCAAACATTCGTGTACAGTATAATTACAGTAATTTACACACTTTTCGAAGAGACTGCAACAGATAATTGGTTAAAAATATAATCACTTCTGGCCAAAATGAAACAGAAGAGCTGTCGATATTTCTTAATGTACACGTTTCCTTGGTAATTTCAAAGTTCGAAGTTCAAGGTTCCGTAAATTCGCGTATTCGCATAGAAATCCACGAAATCAGGAGTTTCATCGAAGATAATAATTTTTAAAAAGCACTTTTACAAAACATTGCGAGCGACGTATCAGCGTCGAGTTTAACCCTAGAAAGATAACCATATGACAACGTACGTAAAAGATAACCATACGCTTCAGAGGCGCATGCTTTTCTAAGGCGTCAATTTTATACTAACAATGGATATTTATTTAAGTTAATCTAGTCATTTTAAAGGTTTGGCATTATTGTAAAAATAAAATGCATTTATATTATATTTTTTTATATTTTAAGTAATTTTAAACTTANCGTCGGAAATCATCGAACAATTGAATTGCTTACTGTGCGGTAAAATTTCAGACGGTGAAAAGAACGACAGCTGCGATCGAGTTTCGTGCGAGAATGAGAAGTCTGAAAAAACGAATATTTTGACGGTTCCTCGTATTGCCTTTTATACAGCGACGGACTAAAGTATCCCTTCAGACGAGCTGTCTACGGCGATTTGCCGTCGCGGCAACTTATTGCGCCGCAAAGACAGTCGACTGCAACTTTCTGTCGCCTCGTTTCAGCAATACGGCGATTTATATGAAGTAATTTGCACGGGGCACGGCATTTTGCCGGGAAATTCGCGTTTAACGAAAGAAGCGCGCGTATGGAAAAACGTAGACGGATGGCCTGCGGCAATTCGCCGAGACGTTTTATCGGAATATGGATTTTTCGACGTACTTCGTACACAACGCAAATTGCAGCGGCATGTTTGCGTGTTTTTCGAACGAAGCAAATCCTGCTTCGTCGCAACGTACCGCCCAAACAGTATACGGCACTATACGCGTACACTCTCACACGAAAGTATTTAAATAATATTAATTATTATTTGAAGGGAAAAAATCCTTCGGGAATTATTAAAGCAGAGTATGTAAGTGTCAAAATACAAAAATCTTTCCATTTGGTATAATTAGTATGTAAGAAAGATATAAAAAGCATCGAATTTTCATATAAATATTCGAACGTCTTATAAAATTAATTTGATAAGTTACAAAAATAAATCTGTTTTAAATTATTATCACTAGTTTTATACCTTTATTATTTAACAATATGTTTCAAGAATGTTGACATTTTACAAATTATTATTTATTTATGATCTCGATGTCGTTTTATATCTCTATTTTACACGATTTTATGATTTCTTTATAGCATGTATTTTTTTTGTTCCTACGCGTGTCGTGCATAGGACACGCGTAAATATAATTTGTTATCTTAATTTGTTAATGCATCTGAAGGAATTTGTAAAATTGGAATGCAGTTTTGACCCATTTACCAACTATCGTTGATGTAACATGGGAAAAAACAACCAGAAATGCATTCCAATTCCAGATTATTTCACGCACATTGGATCGNAAGGCGTTGAAATACTTACATGACGTGAAAATTTTGTTCTTTTTTTAATTTTTTTAATTATGTAGATAACGCTTTATACTAAATCGAAATTTTGTATTTTGACAGTTATACATATACTCTATTTTAATATACCGTAAAGGATTTTTTTCCAGCAATGTATATTTATTTAAATATATGGCGTAAGAGTCAAAGTTATATTAGTGCTTAAATATTTTCATGTCTGAGTGTATGTAGTATCATTTGTATCAATATTCAATACGTACAATCGTATTTCCTTTATCATTGAAGTACACTCGTATGAATAATTAAGTAATTAATTTGTACAATTGAAAAATTTCATCTCATCTTCTCTCAAATCGATTAATGTGGACACAGAAGCTCCTTTTAAAAATCTTGCAGCAGCCAACCCAAAATTTTCTATTTATAGTTTTATTGTATACTACTGAATAACACATGAAGAGAACATACTTTTTTATTCTTTTCTCGACGTCTTCTCGCATTCATAGCTGAGCTTGAAATGAATTGCGTAATACCTGAAACGATCGCAAAACATTTGCAAACGCGGGGGCGGATTGCCGCGATGGCAAAACTGTCGCAATTCGCTCGTCCGATGTTGGCCTTAAAACGCGCTAACTTTTTTAAAATTGAATTCTTTTGGAAATGTTTTAGAGGATCTAGTTCACTATACAATAATTAAAATACCTTTTTATAATTTTGCTATTACAAGGAATAACAAAAATAAATAAATATGTTATGTTTTCTCACATTTTTATTTGAGCCAATAATGAAAATTTTAAAAATGCTTTTCATAGATCTCGAGAATTTTTATGAATATTGAAAATTGTATTGAGATCAGTTGACCTTGTTATAAGTTGCAAACAACTAAAGATAGCGAAAATCATAGAGTTCTGTCACGATTGTTTACACTTTCGACCAATAATAGTCATAAATCTGCAGATTTTTACATCTTTCAACATATTTTGCTTGAATCTACGTTAGCCGATTTCAATGAAATTTTCAACACGCATTTAAGTTGTCTAAACCTACAAAACGCAATTTTTAAATTATCGTTAAAAATTATAGATTTTCATTTTTCTTGTTACTCCAAGTAATAGCAAAATTGAGAGAAAGTATTTTAACATCTCCAAAAAATTCAAGTCATTTAGACCAGTTTTAAAAAAGCTATTACATTTTAAAAAGTGTCCGGTTAAAAGGTATATACATATACAGATTGTTACAAACTAAAATATTGAAAATGTAAATAACACGGAAAAATATGCATAAATTTATTGACAAAATATTGTACAAATAATTACAAATTGGACTAAAGTAAACGCTTATATATCCTACAAAGAGGAAAATCATTTAACGTTACCATGAACATTAAAACATAAGAAACTTTCAGAATTTTGATATAAAAATTGACGTACTAACATCAATTTAACAAGTACATAATCAAAAGTTGCTTTAAACTATACAAACAGATGTTCGTGCATCTCGAAAGAGAATTAAAGGTAGACCTGAATATGGAAACACGTGCATGTATTTGGAGAATGCACTATAATGCAATGTTTTTAAGTTTATTATATGAAATGATGTAATTGTTACAGTTTATATTCCTTATAATAATATGTTTATTCAAATTGAACAATTGCGGCATAGTGTGTACTCGCGTATTCAATGAAATAATAATATAATATAATATAAAGTAATTAACCTAAGCAAACAACATATGCATTACAGATAAGAAGTGCACATGATAGAAGTGCACACATGATACAAAATTCTTAATTTATGAGATATTTGAGTTTAAATATTGCAAAGTGGTAGTCGCATCAATATCGACTGCTTTAAGGTGACGTTGACTTTAGCGAGTATTTACGAGCGAACATTTGAATATTCAAATATTTCATTAGAACATATGTATATGTAAGTACGTTGACAAAGTTAAATATACTTACGTTTATTATTCAATGTATTGACACGAAGCAGTGCATTTATCTTTGTTTTATTGCTGTTTGATGCTTGAAAAGCTTCGCCAATTCGCAAGATGTAGATTGTACATATATGTTGATACGATCTTGCAATATTTGCACTCAAATATCTCGTGAATTCACAATTTTTGCTGCGTTTGATCCAAAATTCTTTTGTCTGGAACGGCGAACTGAATGGATTAGTATATTAAAAATTACACGATCCTGTTTAGAAAAAATAAAGTTGATCTTCACTGCCCCGTACGCGTCCACTTACAAAAAAATTAATTATGTCATCTTGTAGTAATCTTTGTAGGAAACATTTTTTTACATAGTGTATGATTAACGAGTTATTTTTATTTATACAAGATTTACGTCGGACACCCTGTATTACATCTTCAGACTTATTATAATTAAACTGTGGATCTTTTTACAAAATAAAAAATGTGCGCAATGATAAGACATAACCTTCTAAAATTAAAGCTTTAGAAGGTGCTTCTTAACCAGTTTGATCAAAATAGTGCGAAATTAAAATTTTAGAAGATGCTTTTTAACTCGTTTCGACGAAAAATCCTTCCCAAGCTCCATCTAGGTAGCAAACTCGTGAATCATAACCAGCCTGTCCAGCAAATTTGCATATCCCGGTTTGCAGGAAGCAATCCGCTCACACTATCAATTGGCCGGCGGTGTGTGATACTGTTCAATGTCACCAGTATCAAGGTGCAAATAAACAATCGTCGACCGTGGGTCCGTTTATTACGTCGAAATGATTTCAGCGGCTGTGTAACCCGGATCATTGCGCAACCCGGTTCTCTTTACTTTCTCCTGCAACTGCTCGGGCTGGATCGGGCCGGCAATCGATGAAAGTGACAGTCAGCGTTCTAACGTTACCTAAACCAGGCTCTCCTAGAACACCGGCGCCGTGTCATTGTCGTTTTAGCGTTTTCCCGGTCGCATTAAAATCGACAGGAAACATTCCGGAACGATTAAAAATCTCGTCGCTTGTTCGTCGAACCGGTCCTTCGTTTCGGTCTCGTTGTTCCGGCGGCGGTTGTGCCATGCTATAATCGAACGTGGCCTAGAAACAGGAGACTACGAAGGCTGTCGAACTGCCGACGGGCTGGCTGCCGAGTGTTTTTTGTTGTAACCTGATCAACGCGCCGTCGTAAAGTCGTCGGAGATTGTCACAAGGGTCGGGATCGATCGGGGAACGAGAGAGAAAAGGAACACCTCCTTTGTCATCGAGGAATGATAAATCATGCTCTGGGACCGCTGCCCTAATCGGACCGCCTCGTTCATTCGATCCTGTGCCCGTGATCAATAGGCTGCCGATCTCTGTGCATTTATGGCACGTGGAATCACGTAAACGCGTACTGTAACCGCAATTAGAATGTTCTCTCGTTTTCGATACAATAGTTGTGTTCCGATATTCTCGGTTTAGTTTCGAGCCTGCTGTCATAGCGACATGCTGCTTTCAGCTGAAGCGGCGTCTATTGGTCGAGCTTTAATATTTAGGTTAATTATTATTTCAATGTATTCGAGTGAATTATTGTTTCATTTTTTATGCAATCTCTGATTTTTCGAGAATCGTCGATATTTGTGAGTTGGTGTAGTTTTGTGAAATGAGAGAACACGACGGAGAGAATCTGGAATCTGGATTCATTTTGTAGCTCCAAGCATCTATTTTCATTATTTGTTATTCATTTTTGTTTAAAAATGTTTCCATGATGTACAAAGTGCCCAAGTTCATTCCGCAAAACTTTGCATATGCTACGAGTAAAAATAAGAAAAAAATATTTTATGAACATAGATTTCTAAATGCTTCGTTAAGAGGTTATGACAAATATGCAAAATGATTACTATCATTTGTTAATATGTCATTAATATGTTATTAATGTGTTATTAATGTCATTTATTAAATCACATATCTACGAGGTGTCATATGTCTCAACTTAAATGGGACACCCTGTATATTTAGTCTTTAAATATCTTCTGCAGTTACAGAATCATGAGCCTAAAAAATTCAGGACTCGTCATGATGCCAGAGATTCTTCCATTTTATTATCCTTTTTGGTGTTTATGAGGAGTACACTCCTGAAAAAAATTACCATTGTTTTTTAATGACGAATAATATGATTTGATATGATACGATATAGCATGATATGAAATCATAATATATGATTTATTATAAAAATATGATTCAAACGAAACGACCAGAAAATTTTATGACCTTATTATAATATACATATTTCAATTTCATAGCAAAATGCGTTTATTTTGCATTTCTCGAGTATACTCGCCACAGATTAAAAATAAATTGAGCCCTCAAGTGCATGTTCTCAAAATATAAAATAGAACAACTAACACCGTTTCTACCGATCTTTTATATATTCACTTTTACTCTATTAATCTTACAATCATTGCCGGAAAAGCTAAACAATGCTTGAACTCAGAAAATAACTCTAAATCAAAATTTGAGAAAGATCTTTTGACACCGTAAGTTAGTATAGTGTGAAATTGAGAGTTTAGAAGATATTTTTGGTCAAAATGTTGAGAAATTAAAATTTTAAAATGTGTCTTTTCACCAGTTTGATAGAAATCGTAGCAACTTCGGCTAGCAAATCTAGCAGCAAATTATAGCCGTAGCAAATTAGCTATAATTCAAATTATAGCTATAGCAAATTATAACCTTCTAAAATTAAAAACTCGTTTGATAAAAATAGTGAGAAATTAAAATTCTCGAAGGTGCCTTTTCACCAGTTTGGCAGAAATAGAGCAAAATAAGAATTTTAAAAACTGTCTTTTCACCAGCATGGTAAAAATATCGTGCCAGGGTCTTCTTCTTCGTAACGAAGAAGAGCTAAGAGGGAAATTAAAGGAAATTTCGAAAGACGGAAAACTCGATGAACGAGTTAGCTAGTCCGCGTCTTTCGACGGACAGGTTAATTAACCGATTGAAAACTGGAATTTGCAGAAAGGTCCGCAGCCTAGCGATCGCAATCGGCACGCAGCCGATAGTCACAGCGAAATGAGTGGATTACGTGGAAGAAAGTGTCGCGAATACTCACGTGGAAAGTGGCCGCGATACGAGAACCGGTCTCCCGTTGCGGGAACGATCTGAGGACGTGTCGGTGGACGCCGGAATACTCGAAGCGTTTTCGCAACGCGGCCTCCAATGACCTCGGTGAGTGATTAACGCGCGAGGACCCGATCACTCGGACGACAGTTTTTCCATCGGCGCGCATGTATTTCCGAAATGTTCCGACGGGTTTTCGCAACTTTCACCCGAACCGCGAGAGGGAACAGATGGATCCGATCGCTTCGGTTCCAAAGTGCATGTCCGTTGCGAATGACGACCCGCGGATCGGTGCAGGAGGCTGTATCGGAGCCAAGGTGAACCGGTAGGCCTGGCTTATCGTTGCTTCGTACCGATTTCTCTTTTATAAAGACAGTTGCATAATTTGGACGATGAGTTTATAGTTTATGGAGATTTGTTCTTATGAAACTTTCGAGCTACGTACGATGATTTTTGCGCGGACTCGTGGATCCCTGATGTGAATGCAGTCCCATTATTTTAATCTTCACGGATAACGTGTTTGTATTCTTTAACACGAAATACCGAAACGGTCAAGATGACCGGTTTCACGGTTTTTATTTCAAAAGCTCTTGAAATTGTAATAACTCTTTCGTAGGCTACGATTGAATCAAGTTGGACTGAATCGGCTATGCAAGAAAGAAAGGTCAAGAACTTTTGGCACGCTGAATCCGAATTTAAGGTCACGTTAGCACCTAATTCGGTAAATTTTGAACATAACCTCAAAATACGTTATTTTCGAGTATACGATGGAAAAGCATGATATCATTTTGTATTTCAATTGCATTTGTAATGTCATACATTTTTATGTGTGATGCTTGGGCTTAAACAAGAATTATGGGTCTCATCGGGTTAATAAGTAGAAAACTTAAAAACGTGTATTAAGGCCTTGATATTTTATAAAGTAGAAATTAAGTACTAAAATTAACCTACATTGCACTACACATTTTCTAAACATGCCAGTAATAATGTACTGTCTCTCTTGTTCTTTGTCTAAAGTTTATCCAATTTTTCTTAGGTTCTTGTGTATTAAAAAATTCTAGAGCAACCTTTTGTGTTTCTAAGGTGTAAAATAAATGAACACCATTAGCGAATAAAATCATCATTGAACTTCCAAATTTTATGCATTTATGACAAATATGGATGAAAAACTATAAAAAAAGATTGGAAACATTTAAGATTATACATACGTAGTTCTCAACAGAAACAAATTATTTAGATTCTATTTTTTGTTAAATTAATTTACAATGGCTTACGATTGTGTTCGTACACCGTTTAAAATGAAATAACAATTACTACAATTTATTATATTTTTTGAAATTACGATTCATTGGGATGACAGATGTTGTAAGAAACTCGCGTTTCTTGCCGTTTTTATGCGAGTCTAAATGGAAAATTTAAATAACTCACACCCATGTTACATATTTCACTTAAAACGGTTGACGTAGTTAAAAACTACAAATAATTGAAGACCATGAAAATTTACTTGAAGCTCCAATTCGTTAGAATGACGGATAAGATAAGAAACACTCATTTTTTACCGATTTTATCTAAGCCTGAAAAGAAAATTTAAATAATGCGTTTCTGTAATTTTTCTGTAAAGTTCAGAAAAATAATTTTTCTGTAATTTACAGTAGTAGATAAAAAAATCTAAGAAATGATGTTTTTTTTCTATCCTTTCATCTGAATTTTGTCTAGAACGAAAATTAAAAGGAATGTGTTTTGTAAATCTCGGTAACTTATATGCATGCTGAAAATTTCATTGGAATCGCTTAACGTTTGTTATTAATAACAAACAATTGAATACCTTGAAAATTTACTTCTTGAAACTACAATTTGTTGAAGTGACGGATAAGATAAGAAAGTCATATTTTTTACCGTTTTTATCTGAGCCGGAAAGGAAAACTTAAATAATACATTCGTGTAAACGTAATTCATTTATGTGAAACTCGTTTTCTACTAAAATCTATTAATTTAACGAACGTAACATATTTTCTTATTATGTATATAATTAAAGTATATAAGCTTTTCTGTTTCAAATTTCTCAGCTACTCTCAATACTGTTTAAAAAGGTGATGCGGTTTTAGCTACAAACGCAGTTATTTTTGTTTCTCTAACTTGCATACTACATTTTTGGAACAATCTAAAGGTATTTAGAGAAAATATTTAACGATTTTAATTAGTCATATATCCTACTATGGAACTACAAGAAAGCAGTTTTTGTTTACTTAACATTAACAAAAATTACTTTCTTCCTGTTTTAAACCACTGTGCGACGCTCGTATCAATAGATTTCTACCTCACCCATGAGATACTATTGTTCTAGCATTTTTTATTTCAGTGGTATCCCGTGTGGATTTGTTGCACTATGTCGCGCGATAATTTCGGATCGACGATAAATATGAGAACTAAATCTTGAAACCAGTTTTTGATTTAATCGTCAACATTTTATTAATCCCTTGCCGTATTTTGACGAGTCTGACTCGTCGCGAAAATTTTTAGTAATAAATTATTGAGTGTAGATGTTATTCTATCCTTTAAAATAATATATTATATATATATTATATGGAATAAAATTCTAATCTCTTGTCATCAATATTTAAGCATTCAAGTAAATTTAGGCACACATCAATTTTCTTCCCCTTCTAAGAAATTATTGCAAACGAAAAATTTTTAATCGCGCTCGTTTTGACGTGTTTGGTAAATCAGTAACATACACGGCGAGATCGGACGTACATAACTGTTCGTATCACTTAACGATGCGCGGTGCTCCGACTTGATGAAGCACATCTTTGAAAAAGAACACGAAAAAGCACTAATCATGCATATTTTCATGCAAATTTTAAATGAATCCAAAAATGGGGTTAGATTTTAAAACATATCCGTATTCCAGTGCTCTCCTACATTAGACCGCGTAATCAAACCTAACCTCACTTTGAGAAAACAATGTTATGAGAAACGAAAAACAGGTCGGAAACGTCACACACCGAAGGAAGCACATCAATCACAGGAGATGCTTACAAGGTGTAGAAATAGGGAGCACAGACGTATAGGCAGACACAGAAATCAAAGAGACAGAGAAGAATGGTCAAGAGCACACAGAAATATGGGGCACGGAATTATTTGGCACAGCCTCTGAAAGAACACAAAATTAGGATCGAAAACACCGTTTCTTTTCATTTCATTAAAAACGTTTCATTAAATTACTAATGACCGTCACGCAATCAAATATTTCTAACGACAGAAACGTCTGAAAAATCGAAATACAGTTTTAGTGCATTGAATGAAAATGACAGTATTGAATGAAATTGCTTCGGCAAGGCAAAAACGGGAAATTGGGTCATCCACTCTATTGTCTGTCAGCAAAGTCGTTGCCACGACGTAAAAATTGAGAAAAAATCTTGGAACGTCCCCAAACTGAAAGAGACGACGGGTTTGTAGGAACCGAGAGAACAATCGACAGTCGTCGGAGCGGTCCGACGAGTTCACACAGTTCGACTCTACTGTATGAATGCCCAACGAGCGCAGAAATAAAGAACGTGTAGCGACAGGGGACAGCAGAAGAAACAGAATAGACGAGGAAAGAATGAGAGAAAAGGAGCGACGCGGTGAGCGACAGTGGAGCGACAGTGATCGCACTATGTACATACACACATATAAGAATAGCCGTAGAGGATCGTTTCCGTTTCCCCTTCTCGCGTGACGCNAATTTAGGCACACATCAATTTTCTTCCCCTTCTAAGAAATTATTGCAAACGAAAAATTTTTAATCGCGCTCGTTTTGACGTGTTTGGTAAATCAGTAACATACACGGCGAGATCGGACGTACATAACTGTTCGTATCACTTAACGATGCGCGGTGCTCCGACTTGATGAAGCACATCTTTGAAAAAGAACACGAAAAAGCACTAATCATGCATATTTTCATGCAAATTTTAAATGAATCCAAAAATGGGGTTAGATTTTAAAACATATCCGTATTCCAGTGCTCTCCTACATTAGACCGCGTAATCAAACCTAACCTCACTTTGAGAAAACAATGTTATGAGAAACGAAAAACAGGTCGGAAACGTCACACACCGAAGGAAGCACATCAATCACAGGAGATGCTTACAAGGTGTAGAAATAGGGAGCACAGACGTATAGGCAGACACAGAAATCAAAGAGACAGAGAAGAATGGTCAAGAGCACACAGAAATATGGGGCACGGAATTATTTGGCACAGCCTCTGAAAGAACACAAAATTAGGATCGAAAACACCGTTTCTTTTCATTTCATTAAAAACGTTTCATTAAATTACTAATGACCGTCACGCAATCAAATATTTCTAACGACAGAAACGTCTGAAAAATCGAAATACAGTTTTAGTGCATTGAATGAAAATGACAGTATTGAATGAAATTGCTTCGGCAAGGCAAAAACGGGAAATTGGGTCATCCACTCTATTGTCTGTCAGCAAAGTCGTTGCCACGACGTAAAAATTGAGAAAAAATCTTGGAACGTCCCCAAACTGAAAGAGACGACGGGTTTGTAGGAACCGAGAGAACAATCGACAGTCGTCGGAGCGGTCCGACGAGTTCACACAGTTCGACTCTACTGTATGAATGCCCAACGAGCGCAGAAATAAAGAACGTGTAGCGACAGGGGACAGCAGAAGAAACAGAATAGACGAGGAAAGAATGAGAGAAAAGGAGCGACGCGGTGAGCGACAGTGGAGCGACAGTGATCGCACTATGTACATACACACATATAAGAATAGCCGTAGAGGATCGTTTCCGTTTCCCCTTCTCGCGTGACGCGTCAGTCCGAGCGTATTTGATGCTCCGACTCCCGGCACCGACCGTGTCTGTCTCGCTCGGCAAGGGCCTGGCTAGTAGAAGCCGGTGTTGACCAGCTGTTCACGCAGCTTTTGTCCTCGCCCCCTCTCACTCTCTCTCTCTTTTTTTCTCTACGGTTCTCGATCGATTCCGTCCACGCTGCGATCCAACAACACCGTGTCCCTCTCGATCATTCATCCCGCGGCTCTGGCGATCATGAGTTCGGAGCTCTGACCAGCGTGAGTACTGTTACTTCTCTACAATCGCACCTGTATCGCCCCGCTTCATTGCGTTAATTACACCTCGGCTGTTCCTCGGCAATTTCACGCCCCAAAAATAAAACACTTTGCGCCTCGGACCTTGCGTTCGAAAGCACGGCAAGACACCTGCGTAACGCGAGTTCTTGCAACGCGAATTTCTGTAATGCGCCCCAGATATCGTGACTACTGTTTTTGTACGCTCGTGTCGGAAAGTATGTTAATGTTCTTTTTTTTTTCTTTCGAACGGAATAACTTTGATGATATTGCTTCAAATGACTTGAATTTTTCAGAGATGTTAGATCGCAATTAATTGGGATGATAACAACATTGAAAAATCTGTTTTTACGACTGAGCTTGTAACGAACATTTTAAAAAATGCGTTTCGTAGATCTCGGCTAATAAATTTCGGTAACTAGAATGCGTGGTGAAAATTTCATCGAAGTCCATTGACGTTGTTATGATTTACATACTATTAAAGGTAGCAAAGATTTTTCACAGATTTTCATGATTACTTGCATGTACAGTCGGCGCGAAAAGTATTCGTTCATCTATTAGAACGGAATAACCTTTTTTCTAATTGGACCAAGGGATCTAAACGTTTTTGGGATTTTAGAGGGATGAAATTGTTTTCAAAAATTGCAATTAGATGGCAGATAGAAAAATTAAAAAAATGATGATTTTTTTAGGAGTTTCGCGTGAATCTGCGACGAAAATTTATAAAATGCATTTTGTAGATCTCGGTGTCTTCTATAGATGCTGAAACTTTCATTGAAATCGGTTCACGCATAGTCGAGCTACTTTTTTCACGAACTGTAAATGTTACAGCTCATAACAACGAAAACCGATTGTAATGAAATTTTCAGCATAATTTTTCAATTTTCAGCAAGTTACCGAGATCTCCTTTTGTTATACATTATACAGTTCTCCTCATTATTATCGGCGTCGACAATTTCATTGACGTTTCGTTTTTCGACGCGATCACCCGTAATACAGCTCGATTTTCTACAACGCGAATTCATGTAACGTGTAACGTGTTAATCGTGTCATACGGCAATCTACTGTTGTAACGCTTCAAGTACATAGAAAATAACACGACGCACAGTGCAACGAGTATGTACAGTGGGTGTAGAAAGTATTCATACACCATTTAAAACAGAATAACTTTTTTATAATTTTGCCAAACGGTGTACATTTCTACTAGACAATGACTAAAAAATTATTTTCAAAAATTGCTTTTTCAACCTTTTTGTCTGAACGGAAATTTAAAAAAATGCATTTTGTAAATCTCGGCTAGTTATAAGTACATACGGTGAAAATTTCATCGAAATCAGTTGACCTTGACATGAATTGTAGGCAATTGAAGATCGCGAAAATCACAGTTTTTTCACGAATTTTAATCGAAAGCAAATAATTTTTACATTTTTCAGTGACTGTACCTTGACTGTGCGTCGACCGAATTGATGAAATTATCAGCATGCATACAAGTTACTGAGATCTACAAAATGCATTTTTTAAATTTTCGTTATAGTCTCAGATAAAGAAGTTGAAAAAACGTCATTTATATATACTATAATATAGCTATAGTCTAGTGGACTAGTCCTATCGTCTAAAAAAAAGTTCATTAGTCTATTTTCAAAAAAGTTATTGCATTTTAGAAGGTATACGAACACTTTTATGGCCCACTGTATCTCGATCAGTAAAAAGTTGGTAATCTGAGTCGAGTGAAACACGGATTTAGAGAAAAGCAGTGATAAGTGTCGTGCGAGGAATTCTTCTCCGCGGCACCATCTCTGATCGGATTATCTGGTCGAATTAACGAAGCCGACCTGCTCACTGCTGGCCCGGAGCAACGTAGCGCAGTTCATACCATTTTTAAGTGACACAGCTCACTGAACAGCGAACATGAACTGTCCTGCAAGGTCCGCTAATATTTGTACTACACGTGTTTCACGCCATCCGTGCTTGATCGTCATTGAACATAGCAGTTGATGTTGTAACAGCTTCCATCTGATCGTGAGTCACGGATTATGTACATTTTTTTGCATAATTCTGACATAACGTGTTCTAAAAGCGATCCCCAGTATTCGTTGCTCCGTGTGCTGGTACGAAACAGCTGTTTCTCAATTGGTGTGTAGGTCAGAGTTGAATTCAGATTGTTTCGAATAAATCATTATCAAAGATGATCCGAATGAATTTTTTTTAGTCGCATATTTTATTCAAATAATGTTAATCATTATTCGTCATAAATTATTCTATCTGTTTATTCAAATAATTCTTTATTATTTATTTTTGAATAAAGAATTATTTAAATAATTCTTTCTTAAAAAAGTTATTCTTTTTTATTTATTCGAATAAAAGAATTATTATTTTTATTCGAATATAAGAGAATTATTCAAATAATTCTTTTTTATCTATTTGATTAATAGAATTATTCAAATAATTCTTTATTATTTATTCGAATTATTCGAATAGTAATGCGAATAATTGTTGTCTCTTTTTGTTTTTACGTAATTTCATAAGAATGTATTAATACGAATACATTCAGTATCAGTTCAATTTCAATTACTTATACGATTATAAAATTGTTAATGCCTTCCTTTTCACTCGTAGAAAAGTGATTTAATTATGCATCAATAATCAATTCACTACTCCAACATAACAAACTTACCGACGCAACATTTAAGAACAAAATATGAAATAAGTAATGAAAAAAAGCACTTTATATTCTACTATTTTTAATCAAATCAATTATTTTCCGTATGAAGTGCTGTATGAATAAATTTTTATTCGAATAAAATCTCATGCGGATAAATTTTTATCTACTTAAATGATTTGATTTCATATTTATACGATAGCGTCGAACAGAATTTGATGGCGCATGCTCGGTTTTCTTCTGGATCAAAGATTGCTACGTCAGTTTTAATATCTGTCTTTTTATTCCGATTAATTGCTGGTAATAGATCGAACGATTGATAGAGTGGGTTGTCGGTATTTTGATCGTTCTATTGGCACGTGACAATTTCTGCAGTGGACGATGACAGATCATGGTATCAATTTTTATTGTTGCTAAAAATACAAGCACCAGTATTATTGGAAGTAACATTTCTAGACATATTTCTGGACATATTTCTAGACTTAATTAAGTAACTAATTAGTTGGCCTTCTACGTACCTGCTGTCTATAGATATTTCTCAGTAAAATTAACTGTTCACGGATCTCAAATTAAAAGAACAATTTTAACAACAAAATTGCCTGAAATTGTTCTTCAAATTGTTGGACAATTACGTTTCCTTTATCTCGAAGATTATCTCCTCGAAGTTCAACCACTATGCAACGGCCATAACTTTCTATTTGCTAAACGTTTGAGCTCTTTCAAGAACAGACTGACTAAACGAGCGCTTGACAAATTAATGATATCTTCGGTTCAGTGATTCGAAAATTTGTAGAAAAAAAGAAAATTAAATTCTCAGCCGTCAGATAGCAAACAGATAGCAAATTGCAACATGTAAAACGCTCAACTTCGGACGGTTAAACCAGAGCCGAAAAATAACAGTTATGTCAAAAATTTGATAAGAGAAAATCTGAAAACTGAAAACTGTCAGAAAACCAAACTGTGTCGGCGCCTAAAGGCGCTCTCAGTGTCGCAAATGCAAAATTCTAAGCGCCTGTAGGCGCCCTAAGTAGACAAAGTATCCATTTATGGCAAGAATGGATAAACGAAACAGAGTACAGCGGAGACAAAGAAAAAATTTAGAAATATTCCACAAACAATTCCCCCTGAACGAACTCGTTAGAACCATTAACGCTTCCTAAAAAATTCTAAAAACAAATTCTCGGCAGTGTGTCATAAATTGAGCCGTTTCTTTTGAAAGTGGCATAAGTCACTTTTTCAAAAAAATCGAGTTAATGGTAACACTAATTACAATTGAACGGTATCTTTTCATTTTTTAAAAATTTGTAATCAGTAAGTTGAGAACTATTGAGATTTGTTCGAGAGAAGTTTTGCTAATTAACGGCATAACAAACACGTTTATTTTGAAAGTGGCGTAAGTCGCTGTACTCAGGAAATTAATTGCGGGGCTTAGTGTAAAAGAAATAGAAACGTGTGATAAGTGTGTGTGAAGTATTGTTTTGAATTATTTTCAGTATTTTTAAAAAAGTTGTAATCACTGGACTTATTTTTATAAG